AAAAACCGCGATACGTAATTTTTGCGCTTCAAACCGGAAAAAGAAACGTACCGTCGCAAAATGGTTCGCAATTCGACGAGTGTAATCTCACTAATGTGAAACTTTTTTTAAATTCTGATTTTTATCCTTACGACGATATGAATTTAGATTTCGAACGCAAGAAATACGCTATTCTCTACGATATGTATGTAAAATTTTAAAAGACGTACTACGGTCACGACAATCGCGACACTATGTTATCTATCGGGAAATTTCTTATACACGGCCTATTCGTAGTGATCGATTGTTCTCGCCAAAACGAATTGATAAAAAGCGCTACTGTGGATATTCGTATAGAATTCGAGTGTAAGGAAAATATTCCACTGAACACCACAGCTTATTGTCTTATTATTCACTACAGGGTGATAGAGTACAATCCATTGACTAATGTTATTCGCAAAATCGTATAATATTTTTCAAGCTCTCTCCTTCCTTGTCAAATGTCACGCTGTCGTATTATAATGTAAATACACATGAAAAAAGTACGAAACATGATTCATTACTATTGACGAAGCATTTTGTCGTGTCGTATATATGAAAAAATCATGGAACGCGATTCATTACTCTTGACAAAGCGTTCGAGTACATATCGTTTTTTTTCTGCTGCGTGTCGTATACTTGTGCTACATCGCGATGTCCCCCGCGTTCGTCATCATCGTCGTCATCTTCGTTACGACGACAGAGACGAATCGTCAAGGCATAGATACTGAAACAATTCTGTATCTACAAAAGTACGGTTACTTGCGTAACAGTGAAAACAATACGCAATTATCCTTCGAAGAGAGAGAAATTAAACAAGCGATTTCGTTATTTCAAGAATATTATCAAATACTGGGTGATGGTACATTGAATAACTATATGTTGTATCAAATGCATAAACCACGATGTGGTCTCCCGGACATTTTGCATCACGAGCATAATACAGGTAGGAAGAAATGGTCGAAAACACATCTCACATGGAACTTCCATTTGGCGGACGTGCACATCTTGAAAACTACCGCATTCGCGTTCTCGCTATGAGCAGCGAATTCGTCTTTATCGTTCCAACGTAAAACGTTAAATCCCATCTTAATATCTTAATATCTTATCGTAGTGGCACACATACGTACGCTGATCGTAAATGTAACAAGGAAATTTGCTCCTCTTCGTTCGATGGATCTAGTGGAGTACTCGCTCACGCGTTCTATTCTTCAAATGTTGTCAATTACACCGCTGAAATATACGAGGTCTGTTCAAAAAGTATCGCGAATTTTGAATTTCCGCGGATTACATATATTCGATTTTCGATTTTTTTGTGGCGTTATGTTGGTACTCATGTCTCTCACTTATACCGACAAGTTCGGCCATTTTGAATGTTCAGTTAATTTTTGACAGCTGCTTTGCTTGCACGTGTTTTGGCTCGTCTTCGATTTTTGCCTATTCCAAAAAATGGATCAAAGAATCTGTATCAAATTTTATGTGAAAAACAAAATTAAGTGCACGGACGCATTCCGAATGTTGACTGTGGCATATGGTGAAGCTACCTTGGACAGAAGCAACGTTTATCGGTGGTATAAAATGTTCTCAGAGGGCCGAGAAGATGTGAACGACGAAGAGCGTGCTTTCGGTCGAATGTGAAGGTTTTGCTTACAGTTTTCTTCGATTGCAAGAGCGTGGTGCATCATGAGTTCTTGCCACAGTGTAGAACGGTCAATAAGGAATATTACCTGCAAGTTATGCGCAATTTGCGCGAAGCAATCCGCCAGAAACGCCCGGATTTGTGGAAGAACAAAAATTGGCTTTTGCACCATGATAACGCCCCTGCTCACACATCGTTGTTTGTGCGCGAATTTTTGGCCAAAAACAACACACTAATGATGCCGCAGCCACCGTATTCCCTAGATCTGGCCCCCTGTGACTTTTTCTTGTTCCCGAAACTGAAGAGGTCCATGAAAGGATGACGCTACGCTACGATTGAGGAGATAAAGACGGCATCGAAGGAGGAGCTGAACAAGATCACAAAAAATGATTTTTTGAAGTGCTTCGAGGATTGGAAAAAACGTTGGCACAAGTGTATAATATCTGATGGGGATTACTTTGAAGGGGACAAAATAGATATTCATGAATAAATAAATAATTTTTGAAAAAACACAAAATTCGCGATAGTTTTTGAACAGACCTCGTATGTAGATGCTACAGAATCGTAGCGTATATATCTAACCGAAAAATCTGCTAGTAACAATGATTATCTGCTTAATATGGTAACACATGAAATTGGACACGCATTAGGATTACCACACAGTTCGCGTGAAGACTCCATAATGTTCGCATATGTTACTGCTAATAATAAGAATAGAATCGTTAAACTCAACATAGAGGACATTTTAGTCATTCAACAACTCTATGGAATTAAAAATCCAAAACTAACAACTACACCATCGATGTCAACAACACCACCAACTATCGAAATTACTACAAATAAACCCGAGTATGTAGATCTCTGTACTTTACAATATGTGAATACGGTATTGGTATTGCATCATCGAATATTCGTCACGTACCAACGCTACGTATCGATAAATATAGATGATACAAAATACGACGGACCGCACATACTAAACAGCTACATGGATTTCCTTCCGGAGAATTTCTCCTTATCAGCCGCGTATCAAAGGCCTTCGGGTGAACTAGTACTGTTTGTAAATAATATAGTTTACATGATCGAGTATTCCAGTTTCAAATTGAAAAAAGGTTGGCCAAAACGTCTCTCGAGTTTAGGATTTCCCCCGAATGCTTTGATCGATACCGCAGTAAATACTAACAAAGGACAAACCTACGCGATCTTCAATAGTAACGACGTGGCGCAGATAGACGAATGTAGTATGAGTGTTCGCTCATATCAATCGTTACAAGCGGTATTCCCAGGAATCCCACCAGCTCCGACCTTGGCCTTCCGATATATAAATGGTAATCTGTACTTTGCTAAAAAATAACAATTTTACACATTTAACGAATTCACGAGAACCGTAACAGAGGTTGGTAAATTTAATCTAAACGTACTCAAATGTTCGAGAGACGGATTATTACGACAAATGCAAGATATCTTTGGTCGACTAATTCGATCGAGTAATACATTGACAAAACACATCGAGAAATAAGACGAAGAAGGAGGAGGAGGAGAAGGACAGAATGGAAGGACATATATAACATATACTATAATACTTTTACATAATCAGTACGAAAGAAACGATCATTCCGACAATCGTTTGTACGCACTTTCCAAGCTTTTTTTTCTCGATCATGAGAATGCTCAACAACGTGGATATCGAAAATTATCTTATGGAACGGGACAGTAGCGATGAATGAAGCACGAAGAAGAAAAAAACAGTCGACGATTCAACTGATGCAAATCCAGATAAAGACAACAGGTAGATACTTTTTTCTTTGCGTCTCTTTTTTCCATCTACTAATTTCTTTTTTTCCTTAATTACAGACATCTACTCGCACATCATCCTACCGCACGCATTCTCGAGAGAAGATATCCGTTTATTGTAACTGGCTACAAATACTTGAACATTGGTATCGATGTCACACTCCCCTCTCACGTAACTATCATTTTGGGAGATTGTCACGGTAAAGAGATTCCGCTTTCACTGGACATCTGGAGAGAGCTTCTCGAACAAAAACACGTTATCTTGTCCCTTTTGCAGTACGACGAAAACAATAAAGGAATACGTGTGCCGTCTCCGATGTACGTTGAAAATCTAATACGCTTCGGACGAATAAATAATTTACCAATACTGCGTCTAGAAACAAGTACAGCTCGTCTATCCATGTCGAAAAGTACTGTACTTAATATATTTAATCTCGAACACTGTGTAAATCGTCTCATTTCCTCTCTAACCGCAATGACCGATAACGTCGACAAAAAATTTTCACGACTTCTCGCTATCGCGTCCACTGTCACGAAATCTGCGAACATGCTAAAAACGATGTATGATAACGAATCCTTCGACCGCAACGACATACTCGATTGCGAGTTGATCGCCTTGATTTTCGAAGAACGTTAATTGTAACACTAACGATAAAACTTATACTTTTACGACTTCTTGCAGTCGCGTCCACCGTCACGAAATCTGCGAATATACTCGAAAAAAAACGAAACATGATTTCGATCGCGACGACGTATTCGAGTTGATCGCATTGATTTTTGAAGAACGTTAAACGATAAACTTACACTTTTAAAATATACACAAGTATTATATTTTATATATCCCTACCTCTACACACACATATATATCTTTACATAAAGATGGGCATATGTGTATCTTTACATAAAGAAAACTCGCGCTAACGCAAACTTAATGGGGGAAAAAATAGCAAAAAGGAAAACGGAAATGGATGTGAAATCATATATATAATCATATGATATATATATATATATATAATTACTCGCGCTAAACGAGCGTTAGTAGCGAAGAAAAAAACGCGTCTTACGTTTCTAATACCGTTCGTTATTTTTGTCGAAATCGATAAAAATATGACAAACCGTGCGAACATTGACAACTTAGCCAACGTAGTCGAATACATTAGAAACGTGGATCCGGAACAATTCGCAAATATTCTTGACGAAATATTCGAAGAAATAGATTTCGAAATAGATTGCGATTCCGACGAAGATTCCGGTTACTAGTGCTAGTGATTTTAGCGAACACGATCCTTAAGGATGCGGTGAGAAAATTGAAACGTTGGTGCGAGCGAGAGCGACAGCGCACGCTGGAAGAAACATATATAAATGGAAAGAAATCTTATCGTATCTTTAAGGATGCGGTGAGAAACGTGAGGTAAGACTTTTTTATTACTATTAAACTAACGACGATCGAATGCAACGGGTGCGCGCGAATCGATCGAACGCAATTCCGATACGAGTGAGAAACGTGCGAGCGAGAGCGACAGGCGGGAAGAAAAAACGCGCGAACTCCCTCAGTCGCTCGCCCGCCCTCGAGCTCGCTGGATCGTCATCGGCGCGTCACGCCGTGACGTCACGAGCTCACACACATATGCGCCCGTGGGGACGGGGGCCGGGGAGGAAAACTATGAGAGGTGGTGGGAGGACAAAGCAGCTCATGGCTGCCCCCCCCCCCCCCGCACCACAACCCCTCTCGCCCAGTTTTCCCCCCGGCCCCTCACTCCACGGCTTGCTCCATGGTCGAATATATACATAGATAGTCTACTATAAAATCATTATTATTAAATCATTTAATTATTATTTTCGTTCAATTAAGTATAGTATCAATTTGGAATAACAAAAAACGAAAAATCAATAACTTTGTTTTACAATGTTCTTAATACAATTATAAAGGAAGAGAACAACATATTTGTTTTAAAAACGCAGTAGCATTAAAAATTTCTTACTAATGACATTTTATTTTCTGAAATCTGTGTGTACAATTTTTTATCAAATAGATGTATTAACTGATATTAAAGTCGTGCAAATGATACAAATAACTGAACTGTTAGTTAATCGGCACATTGTGGTTAAAAACGAACACCCTTTTCGTAAAGTTCGATTATATATAATAGTTTCCTTGATTTAAAAAGTGCTATATTTAATCATTAAATCATTAAATAAAAAAATAATATTATTGAATCAAAAAATATTTGACTCTACTACATTATTTAAAACAAATATGCTGTTCTTGGATTAAATTTCTCATATAACGATATTAAGAGCGTTATTGATTGAAATTGTCATTATCGATCAAAAGTTTATTTTGTTATGGCAATAAATATTATGATTGAAGATTAATATGAAATTTTCAAAATCAATTTCATCTGAGAGATTAATATTATTGTGTAGGAAAAGGACATACTGTGTTTACGAATTCTTATTTAGTTCGTGCGTTTCCGATTTTGACGATATGTGCTAGAGTATCAGCGCGCCTGCGCAAGACCGAAAGATTAGAAGAAGGCGAGAACAAAAGGACAGTCTAACAACAGCGAGGCACACGACGAAGAATTGAGGTGAAAAACAAAGAGTCTCTCTGCTAAACCGTCGGCCAACGATACTGGCTCACCGAACAATTCCATTCTCTGGATGTCGTCTGATATCTTACAAATTTGAGGGCTCGTCCGGGATATGTACGACAAGAGCTGGTGAGAGACGATTAGACGAAAGATAGACGAAAGACAGAGAAAAGACGAAAGAAAAGACGTAAAACTAAAAGACGAAAGAGAGACGAAAGACGGAGAAAAGACGACAGAAAAGACATAAAACTAAAGACGAAAGAGAGACGAAAGTCGGAGAAAAGACAAAGGAAAAGACGTAAAACTAAAGACGAGAGAGAGAAAAGACGGAGAAAAGACAAAGGAAAAGACGAAGAGACGAAAAGACAAAGGAAAGACGTAAAACTAAAGACGAGAGAGAGAAAAGACGGAGAAAAGACAAAAGAAAAAACGAAGAGATGAAAAGACAAAAGACGAAAGTCAACTACAAGGTGGCGCAGCGACACCAGAAACACCGGCAAGACCGCGAGTGCGTCGATAACGCCAACGGCAAGAGGAAGGTGACAATACGACGCGAGTGAGTGCGTGACAGTAGCGACGGCAAACACGTGTCACGGTGCGCGGAGTGTGCGAAGATAAGATGAGCAACCTCGCGCAAATAAAAGCTATTCGACAAAAGATACGTACGGCGACGACCGTTGCCGTGACGGCTTTGCATAGATTCGTGTTCGAAAAGGAAGGCGACCGCAAGAACCGACAGAGACTTCGAAGACTTCACCTTTAAGAAAGACACGGTAGGGTACGTGAACAAGATAGAAGCAGCGCGAAAACTATCGATCGGCGACTTAATATCATGCTGCAACATCCTGGGTCTAGAATACAGCGGGAATAGAGAAGAGATCATATCGCGCATACTACATGGCTTAATGGACCTAGATACACTCACGCCAAAAAACAGGACGGCGAATTAGACGAAGAGGAAAGTGACGAGGGAACAGCTGACGAGCAAGACGAGGAAAGGGAGGAGCAAAGAAGTAACAAAGAAAGTGAAAATGACCTCGAAGAGAACCACTCTATCAGAGGCAACCAAGTGAATATTCGCAATGACATATCGAGACGTGCAAGACTCAATAAAAACTTTTTGAAGAAAAGACGCATATCCGGTTGAAAGATGAGTATCTGAATTCGAAGATGTGGTTAACTTGTTTGGATGGTCGAAATTACAGAAACTAGTGTTCGCAAAGAAATCACTAGCTGGACCTATTAAAATGCTCATCGACAGCGAAGGCATTATCAAGTCGTGGAAGAAATTAAAAGAAATTCTACAAGACGAATTTATAGACAAAATAAACAGTGCTCAAATACATGATATGCTGTTAAAAGAAGATTGAAGAGAGACGAAACCGTACCGGAATATTATTATGTGATGAAAAAAATAGCTAGAGGCAACATAGAAGCAGAAGCGCTCATGAAGTACATGATTGATGGACTTCCGGAAAACGCGCAAGATTATATTGTACGGAGCAAAAAAACTGACGGAATTCAAGGAGAAGCTGAAAGTATACGAAGCAATTCGGAAGAAGAATACTGGGGACGAGAGAGAGAAATAACATGCAGAAGAAGATAGAAGAAGCGAGGAAACCAATATCAAAAGGTGAAAAGGAACAGGAAACAGACGTGAGGTGCTACAATTGTAGCGGTAAAGGACACAAAGCTAAAGACTGCAAGAAGAAAGAACTAGGTAAAAAGTGTTTCAAGTGTCAAAAATAGCGTGTCATCGGGGTCCGTGTTAGAGGGAACGAAATGGTTGTTCTTTCTCTCTCTCTCACCCGTTGCCTTCTAACCCGTTGTCCTCTCTGTCCCGCCCATTGCGGTTGTGCACTTATCATAATATTCGCGCTCTCTCTTCCACCCATTGCGCTCTTTTCCATGTTGTCTTTTCTTCTTTTGCACGCGATTTTATTAAATAGACATTTGTTTTTTACGA